GCCGCACCGCAGAACCACCCGTCACATGGATCATTTTATTGTATCAATCAACGTTTCAGAGTGCTAAATATTACATTTTCATTAAATGCATCCAGATTTATATTTTTATAATAATATTATTAAAAGTAGTATTTTAAAGTAATAAAAAGTAGAATAAAGATAATCAAATTGCTTAGCTAAAGATCAAAATGGAATCATTTTAATTTTTTTTAATTATTCAAGTTTTATAAATTCAAATTCAATACAAACATAAAATTAAAAAAAAATTGAGTTGACTCGAACAAATTGATTAGATTTTGAATCTAATGGACTTTTTCTCGTCCTTAGATGATGATGTATTATCGCAAATAAAATTAACTTTAAGAGTTTTTATACAATTAATTTTAAAAATTTATATTAAAGTATCATTATCTAATTCATTGACGGTATATAAAATTATACATCATCAATATATCAAGTATTAATTAAAAATAAGATTTAAATATAAAAATTAGCTGACACTTATTCCCATATGTAATTGGGTAAGGGAGAAGTAGGATAGTAGGTTGCCCCCAACGCCAGGTTGAGAGCAGCTTCTGTAGGAGGCCTTCAAATTATGAAATGCCCTCTGTGGGACTCGATCCTACAACCCCAAAATTAAGAGCCTTATGCTCTACCAACTGAGCTGGATGGTCATTTCATATAGTAAACCATAAATCAATCTTACTACTAAACTTGATTCGATTAAATAATTAATGTTAATTATTTAAAAATTGAGTTTGATGACACATTGTAAAATATCCTTTAAAATGAAGACACAGATGTCGGAAACCTATTCACTGTCCTTTAAATATAGTGATTCACGGGTGAGTGAATGGTTGTCGGAGGTGATGATAATCGATGATATTTTAGATTTGTATGAATTTTAAAAAAATATTTTTTTTATAAAATATTATAAATTTTGTTTTATTTTAAATTAAAAGAAATAAAAATAGATTACGTGTCATAAAATGACTGATTGATTATTTTTGAACAATTTTTTTTTTAAGTTTGCGATTGATTAAACATTTAAACTAATAATAATAGATCCATAGATATCTACATGAAAATGGTTTAAGCACTTTTTTTTATGTTAATTTGTTTTTTGCTTTATTTACCAATAAATAATCAGTCAACGGCTCATATCCAATCCGACAACATGGTTACATTACGAACGGAAGCATAGGAATATATATTCCCTTCCTGAAACAGTTATTCTATACAAGCTGAGGAATGAAAATGAAATAAAAACCAGGCTTTGTGCAATGTGCAGGCAGCAGGACAAAGACATCAAATCATGAACTATTATTACTATTCGATTATGAAAGATACGAAATTTCAAAAGAAAAATAGATTATATTTAGGAAAAGAAATGCACTAATTTAAGCAAAAAAGAAGAGACAGAACACACTACTCTCATATAGGCAGGGGGGAGGGGCTAAGCAAGCAAAAGCAAAGTCTATACAGTAACCGAAAGCGAAACTTTCCCATTTCCTGCATATACCATTTGCAGCGGAGGAAGGAAGCGGCGGCGGCGCTTTGCTTCGGAGATGACAGTGATCGGAGTGAAAGGAGACGGAGGAGAAGGCGGTGGTGCGACGGTTTTGGTGGGGATCAAATTTGACGCTGACAGCAAGCAATTGCTGACTTGGGCGCTTGTCAAGGTGGTTCAGCCCGGTGATCAGGTCATTGCTCTCCACATCCTTGATTCTGCCACTGGTATTATTCCTTACTTCCAATTTTCTCCTTTTACTTTAATTCTACATTTTGATATGTATAGTTTTTGCAACTTCTGGTGTTATTTTTCTTGATGGAATCTTCATTTCTGATTCCGCCAGAGAGCCCCGTGTCGATTCTGTCTCTTGTTAAGCAATTTGATTACACGCTAGCGGTTTACGAAGGCTTCTGCAACCTGAAACAGGCAAGTTGTCGTTTACTTGTTTTTTTACAGTTTTTTTTTTTTTTTTGTAGAAATTGAGTGCTGGAAATTGGTGGGGAAAATGATTTGCAGGTTGATTTGAAGCTGAAAGTGTGTAGAGGGTCATCGCCGAAGAAGAGTCTGCTAAGGGAAGCCAAGTCTTTCGAAGCAGCTAAGCTAATTCTAGGAACTACCAAAACCCATAACCCGATACAGTCGTCTACCTCTGTTGCGAAATTTTGCGCCAAAAAATTACCCAAATGTTTCTCGGTTTACGCTGTTCAGAATGGCAAAATTGTGTTCCAAAGGGAAGCAATTGAGACAAATACGAATAGATCCCAAGGTCGTGCTTCTTCTTTCCTTTTTTAGTTCTACTTGTTAGAAATTTGCTGTTTCTCATACTGAATTCTACCTTTTCATTTATATATTTGTTTGGTTGAACAGACAATGATTCACCAGATAAGAGCCTTACCGGGTTAGTGTCCCTGCCGAAGAGTGTAAGAACAAATAATGGTAGTTTTCCCCATAAATCTGGCTTGTTTGCAAGGCATAAAACGGTAAAAAAGAATTGTGAAGCTTGTGCTTCGGCCTTGCAATTGCCAGAAAATTCTAATTCCCAATCCCCGGAAGAGTTATCCGGAAATTGCAGTGTAGGTAATAGGCAAGATTTGATACCATTTCAAACGAGTGAGGGTAATGATGTTCTGGTTAGAAAGTTTCCGGGTTGGTCTCTTCTCCACTGGGCGTTTTTACCTAAGCGGCATCACTCGGAGAATTCTGCCGCAAAGAAATCTGTCGACCAATGGGTGTTAAGATTACCAAGCCAGCATTCCTCAGTTATTGTTTATCCCGATCTAAGGCAAAACCGGTCTGATCAAGAAGAGAATCATTCTTTTTAATTGGACGGAGAAACTGGTGCAATTGTGCCGGTTGGCTGTGAGGCTATTTGTCCCCCGTCTCCTTGTGATTTTCCAAAAGAGCTACAAAGTTTACTTGGGAAATCCTCTTCTTCATGTAGATTGTTTAGTTACCAAGAGCTTTTGGAAGCCACCTCTAGCTTCATGCCAGGTTGATTCTTCATTAGCAGTTGATGTAAAAATCTCGAGCTTGGCTTATTTTAAACGTTCATGCCAGTGATTCTTATTTTCTGATTTTGCAGAGAATATGGTAGGTAAAGGTGGTAGCAGTCATGTTTACAGAGGATGCCTTCCTGATGGCAAGGAACTGGCAGTGAAAATTGTTAAGCCAACTGAGAATGCAATCAAGGAGTTTGTTCAGGAAATCGAGATCCTTACAAGTTTAAACCATAAAAATCTCATTTCCTTATTTGGGTTCTGCTTCGAGGAAAACAAGTTGCTCTTGGTATACGATTTCCTCTCCAGGGGAAGCCTAGAAGAGAACCTTCATGGTAAGGACTTTCTCCAATTTACTACCTTTTATTTTTTGAATTGAATCTTTTCCTTCCTGGAATTGGTTGTAGTTTACAGGTTTTCAGTTTACTATGTTTTCATACCTGACTGGCTTCTCTTGTTACAAGGCAATAAGAAGGATACCAATGCATTTGGCTGGCAGGAGAGGTATAAGGTGGCAGTGGGCTTAGCGGAAGCACTCGATTACCTACATAATGGTTGTGAACAACCTGTGATCCACAGGGATGTGAAATCTTCCAACATTCTTTTGTCGAATGATTTTGAGCCCCAGGTAGCACATTGAAACAAACAAGTTCAAAAGTTATCTTTTTGGTTTTAAGCTTTCTTGGCTCATTACTAGCTCGTCTGCTTCTTCAGCTGTCAGATTTTGGACTTGCTAGTCGGGTCTCAAGTTCTGCATCTCATACTACTAGCATGGATGTTGCAGGAACCTTTGGGTATGTAATCTACTCCGTATTTTTTTTCCAGTTTCTTACTCACTTTAGATACACTTGGTAATAATTGTCTGTGGCAGTTACTTGGCTCCTGAATACCTCATGCATGGTAAAATGAGTGATAAAATTGATGTCTACGCATTTGGCATCGTCCTCTTAGAGCTCCTCTCTGGTAAAAAGCCCATTGACGATAACCTTCCAAAAGGTCAGGAGAGCCTTGTTATGTGGGTGAGTTCATCATGTATAAGCCCTTCGGGTATCTGCCTTATCTATTGTAACACAGTTTAGAGCATATAAACAATGTTTATATAGTTCAGAAAAACAATTATATTTGAGTAAATCGTTCTCTAAATTCATTTCTGTTTCTCCCTTTCTCATATTGTCAAAAGTACATCGCTGCTTCGATCCAGTTATTTTCTTAGTCAGTTTTTAACACTCGGAAATGCTCTGATATTAACATCCAGGCAAAGCCAATTTTAAAGGACAGCAATTTTTCTCAGTTGCTAGATCCAGAGCTCGGCAGTAGCTACGAATGTCATCAGATAAAAAGAATGATTGTAGCTGCTACCCTGTGCATTAGACGTGCACCACTAATGCGGCCTCAAGTTAGCATTGTAAGCTCACTCTCAATTGGCTTTTGCCCATTCTCTTGCTTTTATGTTTGGATCAAATCGATCTTTTTTTGACTACAGATCCTGAAGCTCCTACAGGGTGACCAAGAAGTGACAAATTGGGCACAAGAAGTTAAGGAATCGGAAGAAGTTGATATTGCCGATGATGAATTATATCCTACTAACATGGAATCCCATCTTAACCTTGCATTACTGGGCTTGGAAGAAGATTCACGTTCCTCGAGCAGCAATGAACAGAGTTTCCAAATAGAGGAATACTTGCAAAAGAGATGGAGCCGCTCATCGAGCTTTGTCTAACCATCCAAATGCAAGCGGGCTTTGTTGATCGTTTATGCGGATATTTTTTCCTTGTAGTTTGATCTCGTGGGTGTCTTAGGGTCAATCATCTGCACCATTTGTCTATGCCCTTTCCTTGTTTAGTTATTAGATCAGGTCTTGGAAGAGAGGTTGTTTAAAAGAGCTTCCCCATCATGAGTTGTGTATTCTTGCCCATGATTCCCAATTTTATGCATGGGTTAGTTTTCAGGGAAATATAGTGAAGAACAAATGTATACTCAAAACATGCACGTGATTGTAAATAAATCATTCCTTCAAGATGGTAATGTTTGTTGTTAACCTTCACTTTGTTCTTTAGACATACATAACATAACAATCAAGTTGATTCAACTCAACTGGATCTGTGGCTTCAATTCTTTCCATTGTTCCCACCATCGACTAAAGCTTGAATTCTTTAACATCACGTCTTTAGACACCTCTTTATTCTGGATTAACTTCATTGCGTATTTCTCGAATCTATCGATCTTGTCCCATAACTGTTTTATCTTCGTTCCATCACCCTCGCTTCTTACATTTTCCAGCCACTCCCAGGCTTCTTCTACCTTTGCCCAAAACAATGAATCTTGTGTCACGCTAGCAAACTTACTCCTCTTGTTTTCTTCAATTTGAAGGCTTCTAATCTTCCACCATTTATCAAATATTTTATACCTCCATTGCCTTCTGTTCTTGATGTAGTGCCCGTGTTCATGGTGCATCCCGGTCCTGTAATAGTCCGCGATGTCCAGTGGTTCGACTAGAAGCATATAGAATCGAGAAGAGTTTACCCATTTCCCCTTCTTGTCGAAATCATGAGGAAGCTTGTTGTTTTCCAACAGGGAGATTACACTATCCCAGAAGGAAGCAAGCTTATGGCGGTTCATGTTGACTCTGGCTTCTCTTCTTGAACCTGCCTTGTGCTTGAAGGAATCATAGTAACCCATTTGATCATCTGCCTCATCACAACAAGCTTTGTACCACTCGATTTCTGCTCTGAAAGGAACGATCTTGGACAACCTTATTGCTAGGTTAGCGGCGGTCAGATTTGGCCTGTGATCGTTTTGACCCATTTTCAGGCATTCCGTGGCCATTATTGCTACATTTTCCCTCGGGTTCGAGCTGGATTGCATGGAAAAGCAAAGTTCTTGAACTTGAACTGGTTCCTTATGGGTCAAGTCAGATGATTGCAATGCCAATGCCACACCGGCTTCAAAATTAGAATCAGGTAGGCCATCACCATTTTCATAAACGCTTTTGGCCTTCAAAATCTGTTTAGAAACATTCCCTACATAGTCTCCATACTTGAGATGATCCTCGATGCAACAACTGAATGAACTCATTGTCATCATCAGATACATCATCCGAATAACAGAAGTCGCATTTTCAACACAAACGGCACCCTCTCGGCTGCAAAAAACATAGCTCCCAATAGGCCAAAACAGACTCTTTGCCGACAGATCTTCAGCATGTTCCAACACTTCCAAGTCCTTTAAAACACATTGAAAAACATTGGTTTTTAGATCTTGGGGTAGTTCAGAAGAAATGCCATCAGCAATAACGTGTGGAGAAGCCATGCAGCAGTGCCAGAAATGCAGCAAGGATTGTGTTATGGAAATGTGGTTCACTGTTTCAGTAAAGAGTAGTAGCCTCGGCATGATATCGTGCTTGGAAATGACATGGAAAAAGTTTCCGCCCCATCTTTGTCGGAGAATCGATCGATGGATGGCTTCGTTGCCGAGCAATGGAGAGCCGAATGTGATGCATAGCACCGAAATTGGAGATGAAATGGTGGACTGAAGATGACAGAGCAGCCATAGAGCTGAAAGAGAGGCTGCTGAACCGCCTATGGAGTGGCCTGTGAGCACTATTGACTTCACTTTTCCTACTAGAGCTGCAATCTGCATCACCATATCAAATACCTTGGTTAATTCAATGCAATTTGATTCAGATAAGATTTAAGAGAATGTAATTATGTCATTCAATTATTACTAAGAGTTAGATTACAAATGAGTAACTAAATTTCAAAAAGTTATAAATTCATTTAATTAATTGTTTATTACAAATAAATTATTCTATCCCTAAAAAGAAAAACATGTTAACTTTTTAGTTATAATCAGGTCACTTATTATAATCAAGTCACTCAATTGTAACAAGAAAGTTAACATCTTTTGCTCATTTAGTGATAAAATAATCTATCTGTAACAATTGATTAATTGTTTAAATTATATCTATATATAAATTAATAATTTTATTTTTAAAATTAAATTTAAATTATTTCAAATAATATAATTTATCATCACACCAAATACTTGATGGTTTAATTTGATGGGTAAACTACATATTTAGTACCCAAACTATCAGTTTCGGTATGTTTTAGTACCTAAATTTTCAATTTTTTAAAAAATCATACCTAATGTTTAGCTTTTGTTTCATTTTGATACTCCATTATTAAAACTGTTTTAGTACCTAAACTTTTAATTTTTTTAAAAATCATACATAATGTTTAGCTTTTGTTTCATTTTGGTACTCCATTATTAAAGCTTAACACGTTTAGTACTTAAATTATCAATTTTTGTCCGGTTTAGTATCTAAACTTTTAATTTTTTTCAAAACTTAACGTTAAATTTTGAATAGGGGTATTAAAATGAAACAAAAACCAAAATTTATGTATGATTTTGAAAATTTTAAAAGTTTAAGTATTAAAACGAACACAAATTGATAGTTTAGATACTAAATACGTAATTTACCCTAGTTTAATTTGTTTTGAGGGTAAATTACACGGTTACTCACTGAACTTTATTCTTCCTCCTATTTTACTCACTGTACTTTCAATTTTTTTCAGTTTGCTCACTGAACTTTAGACATTAAACTTTTTTAATCACTCGACCGTTAAATTTCTAATGCCGTTAAATTAAAATTGAAAAAAATGAAAATACAACGAGTGAAATAGGAGAGAAAGTAAAGCTTAATGAGTAAACACATGACATGTTTTATTATTAAAATAAGCCACATGAGCACCCGTTACTGAGTAAACGGTTGAGTGATAAAAAAATTTCAATATCTAAAGTTCAGTGAACAAATTGAAAAAAAATTGAAAGTAGGATGAGACAAATAGGAGAGAGATTAAAGTTAGGTGAGTAAACATGTAATTTACTTTTAAATTGTTACAACTTAGGCAGACAAATAATTAACGTCAGAGAAGGGAAGATATTTTTGCCTTAAAGTTGACCCAACCACCCATCTCATAACCAAGGAAAAAAGGACAGCTGGGGATTTCATAAGTAAATTATTTGAAGAATCTTTTCATTTTTTATATCTTACTTTTTTAAAAGGAAAAAATAATTATTACGGGTATATTTATTTTTCTTTAATATAAGTACAAACGGAATCGGGTTCATAAAAGAGAAAAATAATTCATAACAGATAACGGGGTCCTTTGTTATAAAAACTTAATTTTTTATATAAATTTTTAAAACAACTTATTTTCTTTTAAAAATAATAAAAATCTAAATAAAAATACATATTTCGATATTAAAACATGGGTAAAAATAAAATTGCTTCTAATGTAAAAGTCTTCTCAAAATTATTGAGCCGTACATGGTGATTTTGGTGTTTGTTGGTCATGACAAAAATCTATCATCTTTTCCTTGGTTAATAAAGCAAAAATGTAGTTCTTCATTACCATAGATTCGCCTGAGCAAGCTCGGCAGTTTCCATATAATTTCATTAATTTTTTTTAGATCAAATATGAACTAAATCTTCAATTCACCATGGATATAATAATATACCGTTAGATGGGGAAAAAACTAACCTGGATTTGCAAACTTGAATAGAATGAGAAGAAGAGCTTTAACGTCCCCTGATGCACCTTGATGGGCTCCTCCGCTTGGCTATGCCGGTAAAGAGGAGCAAAGAGACCACCGTCTCCGGCGTCCAACGGCTGCAAATTTCTGCAGCTCTGTTCCCAACCGGAATCCATTTGTATGCCGGAGAACGCAACGTAGGCGACGGTTCCGATCTGTTGGACGAGGTAAGATCCTGGGAAACTTGTGTTCGCGACACTGCAACACTTCCATGCCTCTTCCAACAATGGCGTGGAGGCCAGAAAAGTTGCCAGAATCTCGCTCGTTTCGAAATTATCTCGGCTTTGAATAATTTCAGATCAGGAGCGTTAGAAAGAAGAAAAGAATTTTCAAAATTGGAAAGGGAAGCAAGGAGAATCGGTTCAGCCATAATTTACTTACCATGAAATTTCGCTTTCCATTTGGATTAGAAGTTGTCGCGCTCTCTCTTTCGTGGCTTACTGGTATTTGGTAGTGATAAAAGTTATAAATATATTGAAAATGCAGTGTGAACATGATTAAAAAGAAGACGTGTTATTCTTCTAGGTCGAGGACAAAACGTGCTTTGACGACCTGAGGAGATTAGGATGGAACTCAGAATTCTTCTTCAACATGAGAAAACCTTACAAATGCGTATTTATGAGAGTTGATCATTGTCCTATCACTTAATCATTAAGAAGGGAGAATAATTTGGATAATGTAACACGAGAAGTTTCTACAATTACTTTGTACTTAAATTGAGATGAACACACACAAATCAAACTATCTTAGTAGTTAAAGATATCAGTTATTATCTCTTGAGGTTAGAAGCGAGTAAAATTCGACTCGAAAAATCAATTTTTTTCAATTTCGAGATACGTGAGTTATTCTAGTCAACTCGAATTATCAATTTGATTTTATAGTTCAAGTAGAGTTGAAATTTTGAGTTACTTGAAAAACCGAAAATTTGACTAAGTATTTTGATAGTTTTACGATTTAGTCCCTAATTTCATTATTCCTTCAATTCCTCCTTCATTTTAAGTCCATTTTTTACTAAATTTGATCTACATGCTCCTAAACCATTATAGAATACATATGTACTTTCAATTCCTCTTTTTGATAACAAATTTTATATTTTTCAATTTAGTCCTTTAATTTTTCATAATTTCTTTATTTCTTCAATTCATCGTTTATTTTAAGTCTGTTTTTATCAAATTTGAGCCACATGCTCAATACCACACTACAATATAATACCTATGTAACTTCAGTTCTTACCTTTTTTTACTAAAAATGTACTCTCTTTTTTATTTAGTCCTTTAACTTTGCATTTTACTCAATTTAGTCTTTTGACTACAATTGTTTGCAAATTCTTTATTCTCATCAATTCCTTGACTCCTTTATATTCTCATCAATATTTTACCCTCAAAATATTTTCATTAGAATATAATATTATGAATATATTTTATAATTTTAGATTGTACTTTATATATTAATATTATAGCGTGAAAAGATATAAAATTGAAAAATATATAATTTTGTATTAAATAATATTTTCAATTCCACATGCTAAGCAGGCCCTTGGCCATTCCTTTGAGCTGGTCGTTCACTCTGCATCCCGATGTCCTTTCTATCAGCTTGGTCATTTGTCCAATTCATCTCCTCTCTCGTGGTTTGTCAGTCGCTTTCAATCAACGTTCGCAGGGGGTTCCTGGTATATATGAAGGCCGAATGGTGCTCCTCGTGCTATCTTTGCCATTGCATCAGCTACCTCGTTCCCTTCCCAAGGCACGTAGCTAAATTGTAAATTTCAGTCTTTCTTCACCATCTCAATGATATGTGGTGTAATGGGCGATATTCGATCCATGTTCACTCCCTGTCTAAAGTAAATTTTAAGCCTCCTTATATTCTGTTTCGACGCAAAGCTGTCGTATATCTATATTTGCCGCCAATCTTAGTCCCTCGTAGACACCCCATAGTACCGCATCTATGATTGAGCAGCATACGACTGCCTTTGCATATCCTTGGATCCATTGTCCGTTCTCATCTCAAATTATACCACCACATACTGTTGATTCATTTGAAGGGTTTCGCCCACCATCAACATTTAGTTTATGCACCTCCTCTGTGGTGATGACCATTTTATCATCCACCTATCAATCTTCCTTCTATGAGCCTTGAGGGCCATTTAGCTTGTGTTCATGCATCGCACTCAAAGCTTCTTGGTAGTACCGACGACTACTTTGTAGAATGTTTTCCACCTCTACAAACTCCGGGTGAAAGATGCCTATATTTCTACACTTCCATAGTTCCCATATTATCGAACCAAAGAGGATATCCCACTCTTCTTCTTGCTTCGGGAAGTGTTTCGGTTGTTGGATATTCACTTTGATCCAATCCAACATGGGTAGGTTCCAGAATTCGTTCGTACGCTCTGGTTTGATTAGTCCTCTCCAACCTGAGCGTGAAGGTATGCATTCACGGATTATGTGCGATTTGGTTTCCTCTGCTGCCTCACAGTTCTGACATCGGTCATCTTCTGAAAAGTGGCGTCGCTTGCGTTCCACATTTGTCATCAATCGGTTTTGGTTGATTAACCATAATAGAGTTTTAATCCGAGGCATCCATCTATAGCTCGAAAACATTTTCCAATAGCTTGTGTTCATCCGTTTGCCCCCCAATCATCGTTTACTGTCGGTATGTGCTACTTACTGAAAATCGTCTATTACCTTGTTACCCCATGTATCCCCAACCCCATTCTCGAGGGGAGGTTTTATGGCAGCTAAATTCATAATGGCTCTCGCAGGAAGTGCATTCCTGATCTTTTCACATCTCCACTCTCCGTTGGAATCTATCATATCCCCCCTCACTGTAGTTCGGTCCGAGATCGTAGCTTCTTCATTTGTTCGTAAATCTTTTAACGATCCTAGATCTCCTTCGTCTATTTCTTTTTACATGGCATGAGCCAATCATTTCATGCATAAAACAAATAAGTATCTCTTTGACGAATTCCCCTAATAGGTTTAAAGACTTCCGAATGGGTTCCATTTCATACAATTGAGTGGACACTATTAAGATACAACTCATTATCATTTGTTGTAAATCATATGGTAACCAATGTCTGAAAGTGTATCATCAATAAAAGACTATTCTAGTCTATCGTACGCTTTTTCTAAGTCTATTTTAATTGTCATCCATCATACTTTTTTTTTCATTACATGAATTACTTCTTGAACGATTCGTAATATTATCCGTGATATTTCTTCCTGACACGAAACTTGTCTAGCTTTTAGATATCTATATCGACAACAATGGTTACCACTACCTTCGTTACTACCTTGTAAATCACATTGCAGAGATTTATCGTTCGAAATTAAGAAATATGTTCTGACGTTTCCATTTTCGGGATGAGCACTAGGCGAGTCTTATTTTTGTCTTCGCTCATGATCTTGGTTTCGAAACAATTTCGGACAGACTGACACATCCCCGATCCTACAACTGACCAATTTTGTTTGGAGAAAAGTGCATCGAATCCCACCTAACAGCCATGGAGTGTTTGTGTCAGGATCTAGTTTTTCCAGTTGTGGCCATAGGTGCTTACGGGTAGTCTCATAATGATTAGCATATATACCATTGACAAACTTTATTTGGCAATCTGGGAGCGTCTATTGTCATGTGGATAAATTGGTTTGAGATACTGATGGTATCAACCATAATCTAGCACCTCATAATGTTAGAATCGAATTATAATAAATATGGAAATAATCATATAATCATGTCAAATCATCATGAATGAAATATTAGATATGAAAACGTACATGAATTAATTGATAGGTTGAAATCTTTGAATCTTTCTTTGATTGTGATCTTCCATAAAGATAGAATTCTCTTGAGTATAAACTATCTAATGGAGATAAAAGAAAATACGAGATTGTCTATTTTTGGGACCATAACCCCTTTATATAGATGTATCGCAACGGTCCTTCAAGTGGTCCCGAGTTCGAGCTTCGACTTGGAATCGTGATGGGAGTCGCTACCAATCACTTTTAAAATAGGTGGGTCAGACACCTAAAACTTACCATTTACCATATCAACATCTTACTAAAGATTTTGCTGAATTCAGGAGTCATTTACGATCAGGGAATGATGAGCACCCTTGAATCGCTATTTCGATACCATTCAATTACTAGCTATCTTAATTATGAAAATTAAAATTTTAAATAAAAATTAAAATTCGATCCAAATTATTTACCTTTAATTTCATTTGAATTTTAATTGGATCCCCTTTTCTCACATAAAATTGAAGTTGAAAAAATAATAAAATAAATAAAATAAACTATAAGAATTAAATAATAATAATAATAAAAAGTGCTACAAAACAAAGAAAGGTAAATTAGGACACCAATTTAATATATATATATATATATATATAATAAGGATTAAATTGAATTAAATCAAAATTCGATGGCCAATTTACATTAGGTGACCAAATAGGATTACACTTCAAAGATTCAAGGACTGAGGGCATGATTTAAAAAGTTTGTATTTACAATAAGGTCCCTCATATTTTTAACTCCCAAAACACATTTTCTTCTCATTTGTGTCATTTCCCTGAAATCACTCCCTTTCCATCCTTTCAAATTCTCTCGTGCTCCCTTCATCCCTTTCCCAGAAACCGGCCGCCAGACGACTACTCTTCGCCGGCCGAAGACCTATAAACTACACCTTTCGAAAGCCTCTACTCCCCTGGACTTGAGTTTGAGCACCATTCACCCAAAGCGAACCCCTACGAGCGTAGATCAATGCAAAACCATTCGGTTCTCTCACCTTTTTTGGTTACGATGCTTCAGATCCCGATGACATTCGTACCCTCAGACAATAATTCTCCTCTCCCCCGGTGATGAAAGTAATACGAGCTAAGTGGCACTCCTTCTTTCTCTCCATTTTTTGTGATTTTAATACTCGAAAAAAGCTTGATCCCTTCTTTTTTTCATGCAGGGGCTTTTATAGCCATGAGGGTGTGATTCATTCCTTCAAAATCGACCACCCTCAATCCCTAGAATTATGGGATCTGACGAGGGAATATTTCCCTCCTTTTGCTTCGATTTTTACTACTTTCCTTGTGTTTACTTCGATTTGTTTTAATTTGTATGTCACGAGGATTTGTTTTCTCTTGAATTTGGTTGCCTTGTTTGCTCTGTTTGGGTTGACTCGCACAAGATCTCCCTTTTTGGGGCCGATTCAATTTATTTTCTTGCCAAAACTGGTTGGGAAATCTGGAAATGGCCTTCGGTTTAGCGCGTGTGGTGCATTCTGGACAGCGCGTGGTTTTCACGCCGCGACAATCTGCTGACCGCTGACCTTTGATGCCTTTGGAACGTTCTAGTTGATTTCTGTTCATTGGATCATTTGATCTGATCCAACGGCTATGGTGAATGCGGGGCGCTGAAAGATAAGATTTCGGGTTTCATAACCTAGTTGTTATGCGATCTGAAATAGGTTTTAAATAGCGTTCGCGGTCA